AGAGAGAGAGAGAGAGAGAGAGAGAGAGAGAAGAGAAGAGAGAGAGAGAGAGAGAGAGAGAGAGAGAGAGAGGAGGGAGGGAGGGAGGGAGGGAGGGAGGGAGGGAGGGAGGGAGAGAGGGAGGGAGGGAGGAGAGAGAGAGAGGGAGGGAGAGAGGGAGGGAGAGAAAGAGGAGGGAGAGAGAGGGAGAGAGGGGAGAGGGAGAGAGGGAGGGAGGAGAGAAGGGAGAGGGGGAGAGAGAGAGAGAGAGAGAGAGAGAGAGAGAGAGAGAGAGAGAGAGAGAGAGAGAGAGAGAGAGAGAGAGAGAGAGAGAGAGAGAGAGAGAGAGAGAGAGGGAGAGAGAGAGCGAGGGAGGGAGGGAGGGGAGGGAGGAGGGAGGGAGGGAGGGAGGGAGGGAGGAGGGAGGGAGAGGGAGGGAGAGAGAGAGAGAGAGAGAGAGAGAGAGAGAGAGAGAGAGAGAGAGAGAGAGAGAGAGAGAGAGAGAGAGAGAGAGAAGAGGAGAGAAGAGAGAGAGAAGGAAAGGAGGAGGAGAGAGAGAGAGAATGTGATGTAGGCGGAGAGAGAGAGAGAATGTGATGTAGGCGGAAAGAGAAACTTCACTCCACAACCACAATGATGAAGGGTTGGGGAAGGTTAAGGAAAGGGGGTAAGGAAGGACTTAGAGGAAGGGGAAAAGGGTGGAGGAGGGGGGTTCTCCCGTGACAAGCGGCCTACATTCACACAAAAAGGCCCTGGACTGCTGACTCGACCAACCTCCAGTCGAAAGGGAAAACGACACACACACAGATGTAATGGTTCCCTTTAACCCCGTGCCGACATCCCCCTCCCCACCGACCCTCCCAAACAACAACCCCGTGTATCCCCCACTCCTCCCACAAACACCCCGTGTATCCCCCATTCCTCCTCCACAACCACCCCGTGTATCCCCAATCCTCCTCCACAACAACCCCGTGTATCCCCCACTCCTCCCCTACAACATCCCCGTGTATCTCCGCTCTTCCCCCACTCCTCCACAACAATCCCGTATCCTCCACTCCTCCCCCACTCCCCCGCCCTCCTCCAACGCCCACCTTGACTCCGCCACTGCCGGCCACTGCCCGAGAGAGCCTCCTCGTGTGGCTGACAGGAAGGTGGCCACCCCGACTGACCTCGGAGACGCCGCTGCTCTTCATGCACCCAAAGACTACACCAAAAAATAGGGGGAAAGGGAAAGAAAAGCTGATGAAGAAGAAGGAGAAGAAGAAAAAGGAGGAGGAGGGGAGGAGGAAAAGGAAGAAGAAGGAGAGAAAATGAACAAGAAGAAAGGGAAGAAGAAGAAAAAAATAACAAAAACAAAAGCGCACCCAAAGATCAAGCGGCTCCCCCAAAAATACCACCTTGACAGAGGAACCACATGGTGATGCTTCCACCCTTAACCAAACAAACAAACATACAACCCCCTGGTCTCCACGAGTCGATGCCTTACCAACCAATCCACATTCATTGGACAACAAAAACAACAAAATGCACCTTATGTCCTAAAAAAGACGACCACCGTCCCTGTACCATCAGCTTTTCCCATCACCTGGCCATTTTCCGACAAATTACCCATCGCCTAGGACTCCTGCACCTCGCTCGACACTTTTCCAATTAGCGGGACCTCCCCCACCCCCTTCCACCTTTCTCTCCTCTGTCCCTTTATATCTTTCTGCCTTCATCTTTTTTTCTGTTCTTTTTACCTACCTACTTAACTTCCTTCCTTCCTTCCTACCTACTTCTCTCCCTCCCTCCCTTTTTTTTCTCTCTCTTCTCTTTCTCTCCTCTCCGTCCCTCCCCGTGATCTACGAACTAGCTAAAAATCACAACTTGATAAATTAAGGGAAAAAAACAAAACAAAAGGAGAATAAAATGGGGACAAACGTAAAGAGATCCATCACAACAAACTGACGGAACAAAAAACAAGCCTCATAATTCCACTGCAGTGTGCGAAACTAGATTGCAAGATCCAAGCTGAAAATAAAGAAAAACACACGGAGAGAGTGAAAGAGATAGCGAGAAAGAGATAAAGATACGAATCTGTCGGAGAGAGAATGAGAGAGAGAGAGAGAAGATTACGAAAATCTGTCGAAGAGAAGAGAATGAGAGAGAGGGAAGATTACGAAAATCTGTCTCGAAGAGAGAGAATGAGAGAGAGAGAGAGGAAGATTACGAAATCTGAAGAGAGAATGAGAAAGAGAGAAAGATTACGAAAATCTGTCGAAATAACAAAAGGGTGGGGACGTGTACTTGAACCAGGAAGGGGCAACTTTTGTGTGTGTACGAGTGTGCGTGTGTGAAAGGAAAGAACGAAATGGAAGCACCCAGAGAGCGGAAAGGAGTGGAAATGAGAGGTAGGGGGAGGAGGAGAGTGAGTAAAGCGAGTGAGTGAGGGAGAGCGAGAGAGTGAGAGAAAGAAGGAGAGGAGAGGAAGGAGAGAGAGAGAGGAGGCAGGGGAGAGCGAGAGAGAGAGAGGGTGGAGAGGGGAGAGGGGCCGAGAGAGCAGTGGGGGGTGGGGGGAGGAGGAGGAGGAAGCGAGAAGAGAGAGAGGAAGAGAGGAGAGAGAGAGAGAGAGAGAGAGAGAGAGATGAGAGAGAGAGAGAAGAGAAGAGAGAGAAGAGAGAGAGAGAGAGAGAAGAGAGAGAGAGAGAGAGGAGCGAGGAGGAAGAGAGAGAGAAAAGGAAGAAAGAGAGGAAGAAAGGGAAAGAAGTGGGAAAGCAAGGGGGAGACGGGAGCGAAGGCAAGAAGAAGAGCATCCCGCACACGTTCCATTCATGGCTGTTCCGAATGCCCGGGGCCACGTACGGAGAATGGACACGCTTTATTGGGACGCGCAAGCAAGTGAATGGTCGTCCCTCGGAGGTTCCAGGAAGCTGCAGAAAAGCTGCACGAGAGAGGGAGAAGGGGAGAAGGAGAGGAGAGAGAGAGGAGGAGAGGAGAGGAGAGGGAGAGGAGAGGAGAGGGAGAGGGAGAGGGGAGAGAGAGGAGAGAGAGGAGAGGGAGAGGGTGGGGGAGGGAAGAGGGGAGTGGGGAGAGAGGGAGAGAGGGGGAGGGGAGAGAGGGAGGAGAAACGAGAGAGAAGCGTGGCGACTTTGGGGGACGGCCAAGTTTGCTTTGCACGGGCCGGGATGTGATACCACCTTAAAGGTGTTGGACCGACCCGCGGCCAGGGGTAGGCTTGCTGACGTAATCCGCGGCCAGGAAGTTCCAGTGACGTGCCCGAGCGCCGGATGCCCCCCTGGCCATCTGACTGACGCGCCCCGTCAAGCCCCGAGACGACAATGGCCACTCGACAGACAACGGCTGCAACGCCAGGACACGAAAGGACAGCCGAGAGCCGACAGGGAGGGAACATGACCTCCATGACCCGATAAGAAGTGACCAGCCCCGGCGAGCGGGCGACTGCAAGCGCGGCAGACCAGATCCTGCGCCCGAGAGGTCACGTCTTATGAGTCATCCTGTTCCAGGTAACGAGTCCAGGACACCACCCAACCACCCTCTCCCCGGCGCCCAGGCTCAAAAAGGCGGCTGAATGGCGGCCAGACGCCGAAGCACCCACGCGCGGGCGGACCAGAACACGAGGCAACTGGAAAATCAGGCAGCGCACGCCCCATGCACATGCACGGCGCCCGTCGTGTACGTGGCATGGCCCGAGCTCAAGGACAGGCTCGTGGAGGCCGAGGCGCTGGGCGCGAGTCGAACAGGAGGTCAAGTCCGAAGCCCGGTGAGGCCGAGGGGGAGGGACTGAGGGAGGGAGGGGATAGTCAGGAAATTTGTGCAGTAAATAAGGTCAGACCAAAAGGTCACCAAACGAGTGTAAAAGTCACGACGGGAAAGGGAAGGCGCTGAGGTCAAGAAAGGTAAACACAATGTCCGGGATGAGGAAATAACCTTCGAACACAACGGCCAATATTTCACAAGCCAACACTCGCCGCCGGAGACCAATATCACACGCGCCAAAAAGGGTCAATCAAACAGCGGAAACACATGAGGGGGAAGAGGGGCGAAGAGGTAAAAAGGAAGAGAACGAAAAAGAAAGAAGAGAGAGAGAAGCAAACCCCGATCAAGTGCAGCACACACAAGGCTGTTGACACCCCTGCCTGGCCAGTGGGTGAGTCACAGCGCTCAGGGTCCACTTGCACCCGTGCCTCAGCCTCCGCCGCGTCGGACTCGCACAGGCCTCCTCCATCTTCCCGCAACAGCCTCCAGGACGCCCCATAGGCACCTGGAGGCTCCCAAAACCACAGCGACTCCAGCGAACGCCTCAGCGAGCACGGATCCCGCCCGCCGGCCAGCCCTCGCCCATGCCGCCGCGTGACTCAAACCCTTCGTCAGCGGCCTCCACGCCCTCAGCCCGGGCGCATTCTCCACCGCAACACGGCCATGCTTCCCTTCCAATTACCTTGGCAGCCTCCATGACTGCCGATTGTCTCCGGGAGGCTCCGACAGCCGCCGGATGGGAGGCCGCGCGCGTCGCCGCCTCCGATGACAATGTCGGGACCAATTTCTCTGGCGGATTTGGATGCACGATGGCGCGGGGGAGCGAGACGACTTAACGGGTCGGCGGGCAAATAGGTAAAAACAAGAGGAAACCAAACATCGTCATCAAAGGAGGACGAAACAATAAGGAAACTAATAAGGAAAAAAAAATCTAATAAAAAATGGGGAAAACGATCTAATAACAAAAAAAATCCGAGAACCTAATGCAAAAAGTAGGAAACAACTTCCCAGGAGGAAAAGAAAGAAAAAAAGAGCACACATCCAAGCCGCGCAAGACGCATGACTAACACACTCGGACAGGAGAATCAACAGCGTGACAAAGGGAAAAAAAAAAAAGAAAAAAACTAAAAAAAAATAAATAAACAAAAAATAATTAAAGAATATAAAAAAAAAAAATAGAATAATAATAAAAAACAATAATAAACAACAATAATATAAAAAAAAAAACAAAGAAGAAGAGAAAAACAAAAGACGAAACTCCTTACCTCCTTGCCGGTGGGGATGTGCTTGGCGAGCTTGACCTTGGCGAAGTTCCCCTTGCCGATGGTCTTGAGGAGGCGGTACTTGCCGATCTCCTCCGTGCGGGACCGGGACGACGACACCCGCGCCGACGACGACGACGACCCACCACTCACCCCGCCGCCTCCTCCAGAGCTGGCCATCCCGCTCACGCCATCCTCGCCCTGGAACAAGAGTGCAAGCGAGTTAGAATCACGATCCTCATTTTTTTTTTAATCTATATCTATATCATCTACTTATCTATCTATTATCTCTACCTATCTATTCATCTATCTATTTATCTTATCTACCGATCGATCTGGCGTTTGGTTCTTCCTGCTGCGAGCCATGAGTCACCATTACACAAGCAATGAGAGGGTTACACGTTATGCATACTGCACGGGTCGCATACATACGAATCAGACAGCTGCTCGGCCGCGCTCTCCGCCTCTTCAGACCCCCTCCCCCTCCCCCTCCCCTCCCCCTCCCTCTTCCTCTCTCAATGCAGACAGACACAAGGACAGATAGACAGACACAGGCACAAGCACTTGCGTTCGTTCCCACTCGCACTCACATTTACACTACATTTGTATCATTTACATACATATATACATACATACATACACACACACATATACACCCCCTTCACACCACACGCACGTCTCTCTCTCTCTTCTCTTCTCTCTCTCTCTCTCTCTCTCTCTCTCTCTCTCTCTCTCGTCTCTCTTCTTCTTCTCTCTCTCTTTTCTCTTCTCTCTCTCTCTCTCATCTCATACTCTCTACATCATCTCTCTGCTCCCCCCCCGTTAAATGCATTTAAAACCGTACACCCGCGAACATCGCCGCAGAGAGAAAAAAAGAAAAAAGAAGAAAAAGAAGGAAAACGCCTACGGTTGTGTTTCAAAGACTCGCAGGACCTTTCAGCAAGGATCTAAGCTCGCGCCATAGCATTCGACGTCAAAGGGCCACCATAGTGCTCCTTATTTAGACTAGCAGGGCTGGGACGAGTGTCATCTGTGCTCGGCGTGTAGTCTTTCTGTGGAATATGTATACCGAATATGAATAATGAAGTCACGACAGACATACATACAGAACGTAGCGCGACACAGACCTATATCGCAACAAGTGCGGACGCCCCGCCCTCCACGTGACCCCACCGCTAGCACCGCTACCGCCAAGCATAACGTTTGACAATTGAAGCCGTGATCTCGCTGGTGANACATACACGCATATATATATGTGTGTGTGTGTGTGTGTGTGTGTGTGTGTGTGTGTGAGTGTTAAATTTGTCTGGGCTCTTAGCTTTTTCATTTTAGTTCTTCCTCAGCTTGTTGCTCCCTTTGACCTCCTGCCATGACGTCCCCGCCGCTTGTGACCTGCTTTTGCCATTCTTTGCCACTCCCGAGTATACCTTCCACTTTGGTTTGTTCTTTGACCTGTTGTTTCCTGATCCTAGTTTATAATTCTGACCTATATGGCAGGGGTGACGGCTATGTTAAAGATTTTCATTTTTTAACATAATGACAAAATATCTCTTAATGTGCTGCTGTGTCTGTCGAAGGCGGTCCAACTTAGTCTGATTCGTCAATTAAATTCCTCTTAACTGTGTTTGTATGAATTGCCATTGATATTAATTCAGCACTTGTTGACCTTTTAACAGCATATCTAATCGAACATAAATTGCTGAACATGAATTTTAGTTTTTTTTTCTGTTCACTTCAAGTCCACGGTTCAGACGTTTCTATTGTTAAATACAAATTTTGGTTTGATTGCAGTTCAATTCACACTGACTCGCTGAAGAAGCAACCCCTCCTTCCTCTTCTTCTTCCCTCCTCCTCTCCTCCTCTCTCTCCGCTATCCTTCCCCATATCTCCTCCTTTTCCTGCTCCTACCTCCCTGTCCTCCTCCTCCTCTTCCCCTCCACCTCGCTATCCACTTCCCCTCCTCCTCCTCCTTTTCCTGCCCCTTACCCTCTCTTCCTCCTCCTCACTCGCTATAACACTTCCCCCCTCCTCCTCCTCCTTTTCCTGCCCCCATACCCCCTGCATCCTCCTCTTCCTACCTTTCTTTTCCCTGACACCTAACCCCTCCTCCTCCTCCTTTTCCCTGTCCCCCCTACCGCCTGCTACCTCCCCCTCCTCTTCCTCCACCTTCGTCCTCCGCCACCTCCTCCTTTCCCTGCCCTCTCCTCTTCCTCCTCCACCTTCGTCTCCTCCTCCTTTCCCTGCCCTCTCCTCTTCCTCCTCCACCATCTTCTCCAAATCTTGTTTAGATGCTTAGATATTCCTAATTAATACCCATTCCCCTTCATTTTACCTTCGTGATCATTTCTCAAGTCAAACTGTAAAAACGATGGGAATGGTGTCATCCTTCGTAGCACATTTTTTCGGGATTAGGATTTTATCGGTTTCTGTAAAGGAGCTTAGAGTCACTGTCTCATATCGAATATATCTTTTATTATTTCAAAATTGAGGTTCTCTAATCCTCGTTTTCTAATGATTTCTAAATACGGTTGTTATTTGCCGAATGCCCTCATCGCAACTGACGAATGTTGTAGAGTTTTTATCTTTTATTCGCTTATTTCGGTTCGTGATTAGTTTATTATGTTGGTTTGTGATGACTATATAGTAATTGTTTGTAAATACCTGATATGAGGCTTATGGGTCGGTAATTCTTTAGATCTTTTGTATCTCCGTTTTATGTATCAGAAAAATTATTACATTTTTTCAGTACTTTCGGAATTTTAACGTTGGCAAGGCATTTGTTAAGAATAATGGCTTAGGTTCAATGCTGCTATATCTCCTGCATCTATTATATATATTACATATATATGTATATAATAATATATATGTATATATAATATATATATATCCTATATATCTGATATTATTATATATATTTATATTATATATATATAGTATATATATACTATATATATATATATATATATATATGTACATATATATAACATTATAATATATATATAGCTATAATAATATATATATATATTTATAAATATATATATATATATGTGTATATACTATATACTATATATATATTATATATAATATATAATATATTATATATTAGTATATATATATACTATACTATATGTGTAGTGTGTGGTGGTGTTGTGAGTGTGTGTGTGTGTGTGTGTTAGTGTGTGNTATTTTGAATTGATGGAGTTTTATATTAAAGTCGGTGACCTTTTTTGATGATGTTTTTATGTAGTCATGTTCTCATTTTATTTTATTTTTTATTTATTTTTTTTTATTTTATTATTATTATTATTATATATTATTATTATATTATTATTATTATTATTATTTTTCTGCCTGTGTTTATTTTGTTTATTATGAAAGATGGCATGTTGTTATATGCTTTGGAAATTATTATTTATTTATTATAGAATATTGTACAGTATAAATACGTGTTTGTGTAGATATATATATACATACATACATATATAAGAATAATGATTCAAAGTTACAATTTGATATGTTTTTGATTAAGTAGGTTTCCATAATTAGAAAAAGAAAAATCATCCGACATATACAACAAAATTTACTTCCCCTATTAGACCTAAGGGTGGAGCGGTAGGCCTATCGCTAATGTACACGTGATAATATTACCTTTTCACATCAGCTATCTCCGTGGGCAGGGGATAAGGCCTTTATGTATGACGGAGATAAGGGACAATTTCCCTTGTGTTTTTATCTCGGTCATTTGAAAGAAAACGGAGGTAGGTTGATGGTGTCCCGTTTTCTACCTTTGTTCTGACTGGGATAGTTAAGTGTTTTTACTTTTATTCGTTATTTTTATCTGTTTTTTTATCAAGAGGTCTTAGTTCCTGATTATTCTGCACTGTGCTTCTCGTTTGCTTTTATTTATTATTTTTTTTCCGAAAAAAGTAATAACAGGGTGTTTCTGATTGCAAGAATTAGGAGAAAAAATGTAATTCTGAATCACAGACTGCATGTATGTTGATCTATGTTCGAGTATGTTGTTTTGCGGGGTTTGCTAACAGCGCCCTTCAACATGCCGGGAATTTAATTAAACGGGAGATTAATTAGTTCGGAGAGACCCTTTGCTGCATTTTGTCGTTGTTTTATTTTCTTCGAGATAAATGTTTGGAAAGTCGACATTCCGTAGAAGTTGAAGTGAAAGTTGAATGAATTTTCCTTTTATTTATTTTATTTTTCCTTTTTTTTTTTTGGGGGGGGGTGAGGTCAAAAAGGGAATAAAATGCAATCGAAATGTTCACTATCCGTGTGTGTTTTCTGTTTTACGAAGTTTTATAGGCCTACCTGCGCTGCGAAGTGTTAGAGGAAAGGGTGTTTTGTGTTATTTGTGTTCGGTTAAACGTGCTCTTTCTCTTTGTGTTCGACTCTTATTTCGATTTTTCTCTTTCTTTTTATTCCCCCTTTTTTTTTTCATTGTCTCTCTTTTTTCATTCATTCTCTCTCTCTCTCTCTCTCTCTCTCTCTCTCTCTCTCTCTCTCTCTCTCTCTCTCTCTCTCTCTCTCACACACACACACACCACACACACACACACACACACACACACACACACACACACACACACACACACACACACACACACACACACACACACACACACACACAAACAACACACACAAAGACACGCAAAAACAAACCCACAAACCCACCTGCCAGTCCACCCGCTTACAAACTCACTCACTCACCCATTCACTCCCTCCATCCCCTCCCCCTCCCTTCCCTCCGCCCCCTCCATCCACCCCTTCCCTCCGCCCCCTCCCCACCCCTTCCTCCCTTCACCGCTTCCCTCCGCCCACTTCCCCACCTCCTTCCCACCAATCTTTCCCTCCGCCCACTCCCACCACCCTCTCCCTCCACCCCCTCCCTACGCCCTCTCCCTCCGCCCCCCTCCACCCCCTCCCTATGCCCTCTCCCTCCGCCCCTTCCCCCACCCCCTCCCACCGCCCAGACAAGGGACAGGGCAGCACCTCCCCGATCAGCTGTCTGCTCCGCGATGAGGAAATGACGAATATAGACGGTTCTGATGGTCATTTTGGCCTATTTTGCATTCGTTCAGAGTGTCTCCGCCCACTCATTAGGAGGTGGGGGGTAGGTGGGGTCGGTGGGGGTAGGTGGGGGTCAGTGGGGGGTGGGACGATAGGGGCGAGGGTCAGCGAGGGTTGATG